GCCGGTGTCGGTCGGCGCGCCGCTGCCGCCGTACGAGGAGCCGCCCCACGCGGTGACGGAGCCGTCCGCCTTGAGCGCGGCAAAGGCGCGCCCAGCCGAGTAGATGGCGGTGTAGCCGGTGTCGGTCGGCGCGCCGCTGCCGCCGTACGAAGAGTAGCCCCACGCGGTGACGGAGCCGTCCGCCTTGACCGCGGCAAAGGCGCGCCAAGTCGAGTAGAGGGCGGTGTAGCCGGTGTCGGTCGGCGCGCCGCTGCCGCCGTACGAAGAGTCGCCCCACGCGGTGACGGAGCCGTCCGCCTTGAGCGCGGCAAAGGCGTGCCCAGTCGAGTAGATGGCGGTGTAGCCGGTGTCGGTCGGCGCGCCGCTGCCGCCGTACGAAGAGTAGCCCCACGCGGTGACGGAGCCGTCCGCCTTGACCGCGGCAAAGGCGCGCCAATTCGAGTAGATGGCGGTGTAGCCGGTGTCGGTCGGCGCGCCGCTGCCGCCGCGCGAAGATTCGCCCCACGCGGTGACGGAGCCGTCCGCCTTGAGCGCGGCAAAGGCGTACCCAGTCGAGTAGAGGGCGGTGTAGCCGGTGTCGGTCGGCGCGCCGCTGCCGCCGTACGAAGAGTCGCCCCACGCGGTGACGGCGCCGTCCGCCTTGACCGCGGCAAAGGCGTAACGATTAGCGTAATGTCGCCCATTCGTACCCGGAAACCCGCGCTGGACGAAAGCTCGTGTCGAAAACTGAGCCTCGCAAGGAGCAAGCATACCAAAGGCGCAAAGCAGGACCAAGCAGCTATGTGAGTTGAACTGCTGGTGGTGAATCTGAGACGGCGTGCGATGGCGGGAACGACGTTCGGCAGGCTCGAGCGAGGCGGATCTCGAGCTGCCCTTGTCGTCTCGGCCGCCTGCCATCCCGACGAGCCGCCAGCTGCAAACTGCGGCGACGAGGAGGGCAGCTGTGATGAAGAGCACGGTCGTTGAGGATGCGACGAGCGCGGCGCCGCCAGCGACAGAAACCGCCAGCGACGGTGGCCAAGCAGAGTAGGACGCCGAGCAGGCTGTGGAACAGACGAGGCGGCGGGCATTTGAGTTGCGGCGCCACGTCACCTTGCCGACGACGGCCAGGGTGGCGACCGCGGCGGCGACCTTTGGCGGACCCATCGCGAGCCACGAGAAGGCGCTTGCGAAGAAACCGACAGGCGCCGCCGCCACGCAGGTGAGGCACACAGTGGCGACGGCGAGGCAGACGGTGGCGGACGAGGCCGCGCCGCGAGCCCCCTTTCCGCTCGCCGCGGTCGGCCAGGAGGCGACGCAAGCGATGGCGAGGAGGATGAGCACGAGGCCGGACATCGTAGCTTGAGCTTTGGCGCCTGGCGACGCAGGCGGCGGCAGCGTTGGTAGCGAATAGGGGGCGGGCGGGGTAGGCAAGGGGGGGGGGAGTGTGCGGGGTGTGTAAAGCGGCGGCGGCGGCGGAGGTGGCGGCAGAGGCGGCTATGTGGGAGGAGGTGCGGTGCGCGGGTGGGGTGCGGTGCGGGCGCGGTGAGGACGCGGGTGCGGTGAGGGCGCGGTGAGGGCGCGGTGAGGGAGGGCACGGAGCGGTGGCGGTGGGGACGCTGGCAGCGGCGGCGGCGGCGGCAGAGGCGGCTATGTGGGCGAGGGTGCGGCGCGGGTGGGGTTCGGCGCGGGCGCGGTGAGGGCGCGGTGAGGGCGTTGGGTTCGGACCGGCGGCGCCTCTGGTTCACGCACAAGGCGCGAGAACTTGGCGACCCTTGGGCAGGGATCGCATCTCACGCATCTCGCGCATCTAACGACGATCAGCCTAAAAAAGAAATCAACACTGAGGAGCAAGCACGAGAGGGAGGGAGAGCTATTTTGAACGAGTGGGCGGTGCAGGCTGTCTGTTTACAGGCGCCGTCCGCCCGCGCGCGCGCCGACCCAACTCCGAGCACGCTCGCTCGCCGCTGGGCGGCGCGCGTCCACACTGCGTCGGCAACACGACGCAGGAGCTCGCTCACTGCTGCTGCGGCGGCGGCAGCGACGGCGACTGCGAGCTGACGGCTGACGGCTGTACGGCTGTACGGCTGACGGCTGGCGGCCGGCGGCTGCGGCGAACGGCGACGGCTCGGTTCGCGTTCGCCCCGCGACGGTGCGACTGAGCCTGCCACGCTCGATCTGGGAGCCACTCGGCGCCAGTTCGAGCGGCGGTCGGCTCGGCCACTGCGGGTGCGACGCATGATAGAGCTGCTGGGCGCCGCATCGTGTACTACCGACCCACGCCAAGGCGCGGGGCGGTGGTGCTCGCCGGCGCTCGCGGTGCTTCGGTGCTCGAGCGCGCTCAACATTGTGGTCGTTCAGGGCGGCTCGCACAGCGCCCGCAGACACACACACACACACACACACACACACACACACACACACACACACACACACACACACACACACACACACACACACACGCAAGGGCGAGGACACGCGCAGGGGCCGCACCTCTAGCGAAGCCCACAGAGTGGGAGACTCCTATCACCGCCCTGCCACCCACGTGAGCCTTTTGGCCGCCTCTGTCAGTGTGCCCGTGGTAGTGAGAGACTGCTGGTGAGAAGCCGGAGGAAGGTCGCTAGTCGAGAGAGATCGCCAGTGGAATAGGGAGTCCACCGTGCTGCGAGCCTGTCGCTGTCCCTTGTCAGGAGCAGGAGAACTAGGAGAGCGCAACCAGTAGGAGGCCCGCGCCTGCCCCCGTGCCGCCGGGTGCAACCTGTCCTATACGAGAGAGGAATCCCTGGGACCCTGTCGTGTGGGTGAACCCTGCCCAGCCCCCCTCCGTGTCGCGATGCGCTCCCCGCTCCCGTTCCCCTGTGTCCCTGATCGTCCTTCCAAGATCCTGCTCGTGCAGGTGGGGACCCTGTCCCTCTCCCACCCCTCGGTTGGCGTGCCCGTTTTATTTATTTAT